TTTTTTACTCTGTTGATTGTTTCTTTTGCTGTGCAGAAGCTTTTTAGTTTGATATAATCCCATTTGTTTATTTTACCTTTAGTTGCCTGTGCTTTGGGGGTCCTATTCATGAATTCTGTACCCACTCCTATTTTCTGGAGTGTTTCCCCTATGTTTTCTTTAAGAAGTCTTATTTTCCAGGATGTATATTTAATTCTTTAATCCATTTTGAGTTGTTTCTGGTATATGGTGAAAGATATGGGTCTAGTTTCATTCTCCTACATTTGATTATCCAGTTTTCCCAGGACCATTTGTTGAAAAGACAGTCTCTTCCCAAGTATGCAGTCTTGCTGCCTTTGTCAAAGATCAGATGGTGAAGGCACATGGGTTAATTTCTGGGTTCTCTATTCTGTTCCATTGGCCCATGTGTCTGTTTTTATGCCAGTACCATACTGTTTTGGTTATTATAGCTTTGTAATATAACTTAAAGTCAAGGCGTGTTATGCTGCCAGCTTTATTTTTCTTTGCTCAGGATTGCTTTGGCTCTGCATGGTCTTTTGTTGTTCCATATAAATGTCTGGATTTTAAAATGTGGAGGAAATGGATAAATCTCTGGATGCATACAAGTTACCAAAACTGAAGAAAGAAGATAAACAAAATCTGAACAGACCAATAACAATAAAAGAGATTGAAGCTGTTATTAGAAGGCTCCCAACAAAGAAAAGCCCAGAACTGGATGGGTTCGCTGCAAGTTCTACCAAATCTTCAGAGAGGAACTGATACCAATTCTCTACAAACTGTTCCAAAAGATTGAAACAGAAGCCATTTTTCCAAACTCATTCTATGAGGCAACTATCACCAATTCCAAAACCAAAGATGAATCAAAAATAGAAAATTATAGGCCAACATCCTTGATGAACAGAGATGCAAGAATCCTCAATAAAATACCAGCTAACAGAACACAGCAACACATACAGAAAATTAAACACCATGATCAACTGGGATTCATCCTAGGGATGCAAGGTTGGTTCAATATATACAAATGAATAAATGTGATACACCACGTTAATAAAAGCAAAG